TTTTGAATTCTACAGAATTATTATTTGACTGGGACCATTGCAACTAGATTTTGGGGGGCCGGAGGTTGACGCGCCCGCTCCTCATGCATGAGGACACGGATCCAAAACCTAACACGAGACTTTTTCAGATTAATGCTTAAATTAAACCTTCTCTTTATGAGAAGCGGCCTTTGCCTAGCAGTGAATACTAATAGGCTGATAATGTGATATAAATGCTAGTAGGGGTTTGTGTTTTTTGCTATATTCTTATGAGGCTTATATTTGGAGTTTCGTTGGTAATAAAATCAATCAATATTTTTTTTACAAATTTTAACACATGTTCATATTCTACATCTAAATACAAACACGTAAAGGTCTTTTCCTAGAAACGCAATAAAAATTAAAACCAAAGCAATAAAATCACGTGATATCGTGTACACACATAAAACAAAGTGAAAAAAAGAGATGGTGTTTATTTTGTTTTGAAAATATATATCAATTTATTCACTATTCAGTACTATTTTTTTTCTCCAATCATCGTTTTTCACTTAAAATACCATTAAATTGATAACCGGAGGCCCCATACTCCTCCCCGCCATCCCTCCATAATCACTAAACCTCCAAGAACCAAATTCCCAAAAGTTGGCAACGCGATCGCAACTCTTCATGTATTGCGATTTACCGTCGGCTGGTTTGCCGACCTATCAAATAAAAAGAAAATTATAAAATAAATTATAAGATTTAATATGAAAAACGTTATATTGAACCCTAAAAAATAAAACAAAGGTAAATAACAGTTTCAGGATATTCAGGTTTCAGTTATTTTCCTGTTCATAATATTTTCCACCTACATCAAAATTCTTGTACAAGTGAAAATGTTTTTGCAGAGTAGAAATAACATTTTTAGTTTTACCATACGTAATGCTAGCGTAGATATGTGAGTATGTATGTTTGTATATCGATACGGTAACGAGACACCTACTCAAGGGAGCGGATTATGGCGATGACGCATCGAAATTGTAGGTGGATATTTAAACTTGTAGAATAAGAATATGACCAGTTAATTTAATTGAAGGACATGTGAAAATTTGGATTGTTTGATGGATAGTGTTAAAAGGGATTTAAGTGTGGGAGGGCCATGCTTCGGCAGGAATGGGTCGGCTTGACCGGGTTGTTGCCACGGCCTTACATAAAACTGGCGTATACCAACCACAGCATTTTATTTGACTTGTGAGTAAGGTAAACGTTGGCCTAAACCTTCCCCTCCTCCGATCCTTCCCCAAAAGGTTGGCACGCACTCGTAAATCCTCTGTTGTTGCGGTTGTCTGTGAGCGGCGCTGATTACCATCAGGTAACCCGTCGACTCGTTTACCGTGCTATGACACAAAAAAATTGTGATACAATCGAGCAGATATTGCACCTAATGATGATCAATCAACGTCACCCATGGACGTTTGAGTAATCAAAGGGGTTTATGAATTTATTTCATTCCAACCCAGCTAGGGCTTTGTGGAAGTCAAAATCATTCATTCAAACAAAACTATAAATACTACGGGCGTCGGGGATCAAGGGACGATCTCCGGCCACCGTAAGTGCGGGTCTGCGGTCGGCGAGTAAGGGCAGCTCGCCGCCCGACCCGAACCAGGCCCGAACGGCGCGTAGCGTTCCACGCGCGCCTCAAAGAGCCTATAGACCACCACAGACGGGGCCCTACAGTGCTGATGTTCAGCCGGGGTTGCGGGGTAAGCGCAATGAGGCACCGTGACCTCCGCCCAGAGCAGGAGAAGGAACAGGGCGGTTTTTAGTCAGTAAGAGTCTGACACTCCCTCCCGCCCGGCCCTGGGCGGGAGAAGCCATTTGATGATTTTCCCCTCACAAAAAATTAAAAATTAAAAAAAAACCCGCCCGGCCCTGTGCGGAAGAAGTCATTTGACGATTCAAAAAACCCCTCACATAAAAAACTAAACTATAAATATGTACTTTTGAAACGACAAAATATAATAATACATAGTCTGTCAGTTTGTTCGTCAGTGAAGCCAGCTGCTAGTTTGCGGTTCGTCGTTTGTTCAAAATTTAATTCCGAGATCAGAATGAATAACATTCCTCTTTCACCGTTATGTAGAGTTTATCATAGACAAAAACTAGATTCACAATTGACCTACACGCGTTTTGAGTCCCTTAAATCCTAAAAAGGATTCCTTTTTAATGCATAGTATAAAATCATTTACTTACTGAAAAGTTGTAAATGTATTATAACGATTGAGATAGTTTTAAATTACACAATAATACTTAAACATTATCGGCCTTATTACAAAAAGAAAGGTTTTCTTAAGTTTGGGTCTTAACCATTGAGCCAGTTTTTGTATTTTAAATTAAAGGTAGGTGAGAATAAGATTCAGAATACAAAACCTTACTCAATGGTTTAAACCTAGACTAAAGGTAAATCTAGTTTTGTTGTAAGGGGGCTGCGACTTGCGCTCTGTGTAGTCTGCCACCAATTTTTTTGAGTTTTTGTGGTACACTTGAACCTTTTTCAATACAGGTTTAGATTGTACCAGATTCTCGCGGGTTGATATTGAAAACAGATAATATACACACATCACGATTGCGCGCGATTAAACACATATAGAGGATCCTAACGTACAACGTACAACTAGTTACAGGGTCCTCGTTTTTCGGTCTTAGGGAACTTCACTCTTTGTTCTCTTAACACACTCGACCAAAATTATTAGTGAGAATTGGATACTTAAGTTCCTTGTTTTGATTCATCATCATCAGCCTGTTGTCGTCCACTGCTGGACATAGGCCTTCCCAATTGCACGCCACTGAGCTCGATGTTCAGCTCTTCTCATCCAACCACTGCCAGATAATATAATAAAATCATTGTTTTGATTGACATACATTGGTATAGCGAGGGGAGTGTCAAATCTGGCTGACTAAGAACTTCTAAGAAAGAAAGACGAAATAATCTTTTAAAACCTACGAATTCTTTTTATAAATAAAATTATTCACATTAAAAAACACAAAAGCATTTTTGACATCATTTTTCCTGTATTGCTGCATACCACAATTCACTTATAAGCTCGGTACTACTTAAGGATAACTGGCAGAAAATACTATAAAAATTAAGTCCTCCAAAATACACCTGAACAATATATAAATAAATAACAATTAAAAGCTATAATCAAAGTTAAAGTCTAATGAATATCTTCCTCGGAGTTTCCTCACCTTGAGAAAAGGTTAAGAACCTTCACATTGAACTGAGTCTACGGCTAAGTTTAATTCTATTACAAAGTTCATTAATGTGAACAGATCGGCTGACAGTGTACACAAATACATAAATTATGTGCTCGTTTAACCCGGGTTAAAGGTACAACAATGTGTTGTAAACACCGCCCTTACTTTGAAGAGAGGGTACATTTTTAATTGAGGTACATTTAGGTAGATTTAGGTAACTAAAACGTTTTTGAAAACATTATTTCCCTCATTTTCATCTTGAATAATTTGTTAGTTCTCTGATTTTGTAACCAGACCAGAGCCCACGTTGAAAGGCGCGCTGATTTTTATTTTGGTTAAAGTTAAAACTAATGTTACATAATATAAAAAATAAAAATCACGTAAATAAACGGCGAACAATAACAATCCAATTAAAAAGTTGTTCGATATCAATCATCACGACGATGACGTCACGACTTATATTACTCGTAGAACTATAAATAAAAAAAAATCGATTGAATTCACATAGAAAACCATTTATAAACAATAACACACAGCTGACGTTTATACACACAAATATAAATATTTCAAAACAATTTCTGCGCTTTGAGGAAAAGTTAAGCTCATAAAAAATGGGTCACGAGAAGCAAATAGAAAATTTAAATTGGGTAAGCTTTACGGCTTGATATTGTCCCAACACATAACATTTCCCAGCGAAGCCTTGTACATTCTTTCAATTTCCTTCGAATGGTAAATTATTTCTTGGTACGACACCGGTCAGTAGGTCGGTCCATCGATTTGTGATAGAATCGATATCTTATTATTAAATTATTAGCTCGAGGCGCCGAGCAGACCAGATGATTGCCCTCAGGTAATAAGCGATGATTCACGTTATTTGGGCCTATAGGCATTTAAATTAAGAATAGTTTGGCACATGATCTGAATTTCAGTGCTGAAGAAAGAAATATTGCTTCACTTCACTAATATTATTATTTAAATACTAATCCAGTGTAAGTTTCACCTAAAGGCACGACAAATTATGTTTAATATTGATTCCGAAAGCAGAATAAAAACATACCAATGTGACAATATTTTTTTAAAAATTTAGTTTTTTGGTAATGTGTTATGTGCGGTGTTAGTCCAAACAGGGCACATCGCCACAATATGCTAAATCTTGTCCTCCGATGATGACACCTAGGCATTTCCTACCGCTGGATCCGAAACAGCTAACTATCGAAGCTTTAGTGTTCGGTAACCACCTGAGTGAAGCATGTGAGAATGGCAACCCTTCATCAAAGAGGGTCTTACCGCTGCTATAACAACGTGCCCGGTAAATTGATTACCATGCAGTTCAGTTAATCAACGAAGCAGTCAGAGGAAATACGTTATTACGTTCAAAACACGTGTATTATGTGAGCGTTATTAATATAGAATAATAATAAAGCTTAATTGGAAAGTAATTAATCTATTTTAGGTCTCCGTGGAATCGAAAATTTGTCTTCTCAGTAAGATCATTGTTTTCAAATCCGTTGAGACGAAATTGTTATTCTTAAATAAACCCTGTATAATTAATTATTCGTTATTATCATATTTTATATCTTGATAAAGCTACGTTATTATTTTAAGCATTTATTTATAAACTCTCAGTTTATGTATGTTAGCAAAAATAAAAATATCAACTCATTAGAATTGTACAAAATGCTACGTGTCGTAGCTCGTAGCTACTACGGCGTAGCGTAACTTACTTGAGTTTCTTACATAGGAAAGTAGATAGATTTATTGATATTGTAAAATTATTGTTTCAGATAAACGGCTAACATTGGAATGACCTCCAACGCGGTCAGAGTGTGTCAAGCCCCCCTTGAAGATGAAATGCTCTTGGCCCACGGCACTGTTCTTTTTGATATGGTAATGTAACCCTTTTCTATGTATTGAGTACTTAGTACTTTTTATACTCATTTTGTGATCTCTCTATTTTCTCTATCCAGCCTAACGCAGACCGCTACCGGACATAGGCCTCTCCCGTTCAAAAGGTTGGTACTGCTGTCTGTAGTTAAGTGATGTTATCATCCTGTTCTGTGAATTAGGGATGTACTGTAAATAGATTTTCATTTTATCTATCATGTGTGTATAGGTAACAATTTTCATCAGAAAACTCAACAATTTGAGCTTCAGTCATAAATTAAATCTTTATTTTTTGTAGGAACAGTCAAAAATATTTTAATATACACTTCATCGAGTTGTGTACAATACAGATAAGTTCTACAATAACAAATCAATATAACTAAACGTTTGACGTATCTATATGTGCCAATTTATGTTGACACTGAATTTCACAAAATTTCTGTGTGTACGGAGATCACCTTTTAATTGTTAGTATTTACGCTTCCAGTGGTCGTCTCAAGCATTAAAGACGTATTGTTGCAGACTTTATTATTAAGATTCTCAGCTAGTTAACTTGTCTTATTGAAAATCTAAACGATTATTGAAATGTTTAATGGCATCATTTGAGTTTGGATAAACAAGTCCAAATGGTCATTTTGATGCTTAATGGCTGTTTAAGGCAGCGGTACGTGATTTTGATATCAACTTAACTGCTAAAGACGTTTTTAAATCTTCATCTAAAGAATTTTCTTTTGCTTACGAACTTTGTGTGTTCGTTTTTGTTCTGATTTTTTTTTCTACGAACTCTGTTCCTCGAGTTGGAAATTTTTTAATGTAACTTTGACTATGTTAAAATTAATTCATATACTGACAACAAAAAAATTATATAAATAACAACTTTTTTTTCTGTAATAGGTTGGCAAACTAGCAGACGGATTACCTGATGGTAAGCAATCAGCGTCGCCCATGGACGGTGCGGGTGCACCGGAGGAGTTACGAATACGTTGCCGACCTTTTAGGCATTAGGAATTTGGAGATTTAGGGATTGAGGAGGAATTGCGGGAGGGGAAGGATTGGGCCTCCGGTAACCTCACTCACTCGGCGAAACACAACGCTGTGGTTGTTTCACGCCGGTTTTCTGTGAGGCCGTGGTATCACTCCGGTCGAGCCGACCCATTCGTGACGAAGCATGGCTCTCACACAACTACTCTTACTTAGGTACTACATATGACCAAAAACATCGACACAATACTATTTTTAACGTACATACATATATCTAAAACTTTTAACTTCAAACTCAATCGTCTGTAAGAAATACGAACTTCAAAGATAAAGTATTTGGGATCAACGAGTGGGATTCATTCTTTACAGTATTTGGATACCCAAACAGAACTGTCCATTGTTCAACCAACCCCAAAATAGTTCCTTTGCCAATTGGAGTCTACTCAATCGTTGCATTTGTAGCTCAAAGCAACGTGAAGTATAAGCTCAAGTGAGCGCTTAATGCATCGATACATACCTTATCGACCGTTAACAGAGAGAACAAAGATTGCTTTGTTGAATTCTTGAAATTTTTCTTTTACTCTCAAGTGCATTTGAGATCCTTATGACTCAATATTGACACGTATTGATCGTTATTTTATTTTCGATCATCCATTTTCGATTTTAACTGCATGTGAATAGTTTCATGGGCTTTCAATAAATCGTAAGTAATTTTGTTCTAGAACGTGTTTATTGTTTGGGTGTGTTTCAAGGACATTCATATATCACAATAATATCTCTTCGGCCATTCCCCTTTTAGCGGACAATTCTTAGTATTATATATTGGTTAATTACATCCTTGGTAATTATTATGAATAGAATAACACTTTGTTTGTTTCTTTTCGTTTCTCTTGGTTGCGAAGCCATTTATGCTAGAAATTTGGAGCTATATAGGAAGTTGTAAATGATAGGAGTTTTTTTTGCTTAAAAAAGCTGTCGTTGCTGTTAGTGCTTATGTTTAAAATACAGATTGATAAAATTTTATCGTCAATAATAATTTTATGTTCCTCAGCAATTATTGTCAAACATAACCTTTCTATATAAAAGGGCATATATGTAAATGTCCTTTTAATAGATTACCTCAATATCTTCAGTTCGGCGTGAAACAATACATACGTTGCGTTTTGCCTTGTGAGTGAAGTTACCGAGAGCTCGAAGGCTCAATCTTTCCCCCTCAATATCAATCCCCAAAACCGTTAATCCCTAACAACCTATAAAAGTTAGGAAACGCACTTGAAGTCACTCTTGTAGAATTGTGGTTGTCCATGGTTGGCACCGATTTTCATAATCATCTCCATCCGATTTTCAATCAATTTGCTTAATTTTAATCCCTTAAAAAAATCAATATTCTTACAATTTGGTCAAGTTTTATGTGAATTGAATTTAATTATAATTGTTTCTATTTCTGGTCTTAGTTCAAAGTGACGAAATCAATTAATTTCCGGTATAATTACTGAAGTATACTAACTAATAGAGGGAAACTCGAACAAGCATTTAATAAATGCCACATCTGTGACCAACATTAAATAATAGCCGAGGGAACTTCTAGTTCCTCCTTCTTGTCTTCAATTAATATTTAAACTTACGATGAAACAAAGGAGCTACAATATCATTTTACCTTTAGCGAAGTTTAAGAGCATTGATTTATTATTTACCTATACCGGCTACTTTTGTAGTTCATCAAAAATACGGCTCATAAAATCTATCTATGAAACGGATGATTTGTGTATTTTACGAGTGAGGTCTATTTTGAGTATTATACAGGGTGTAAAAAGACACTTAACGAAGCCGTTAACTACGCATACTGCAGTTCTAACTAAGTAGCCTTACGCTAAAATTATCACTGGGAAACGACATTTATTTTTGGGTATCAAAAAAAAAAAAAAATTTTATTGCGCGCAATGTAAAGGAAACGGGCTTCGTGTCCATCTTTGATCTTCAACATCTCGAGAAACGTGGAGTCCCAGCTATGGTCATAAAGAAAAAAATGATACAAATAATGGGTAGAATACATGGGTTTCGGCTTCGTTAAGTGTCTTTTTACACCCTGTATACTAAAATGGCAAAGTAAAATTAAAAAAAAATTTAAGCTATACGGGATCTTTTAAACGTCATCATTCAATGTGTATGTTTCAAACTCTTATATGTCCGTGAGACCTATGAGATATATTGTATCAAAATAAATATAATTTAATTGTTCAGCTTTTCAAGCGACACCTGTTGTCTTTAAATTAATACAATTTTATCTGTTATTGGCTCCAAAAGATTCATCGACTTTTGATTTAATTAAAAACGTTCCAGGAACATGTAATAAATTCGCACCCTTATCCGAATCTGTTCTCAGAGTTTTACGATTTACACCGTACGCACTCACGTGGATTTATGACTCGATTTTAGAATCTACGAGATTTTGAATGGAAATTTCAATTTAGTGTAGATGGTTTCAGGCTGTGAAGGGATACAATGCCAATCATTCTGTCAGCGAGATATTCAGTGGAGGTGTAAGCTCGCCCCATAGTCTGTTATGACAGATGGAGGTGTCAGCGTTGAGAAAATGAATTGCATTTCTGTGTGAGATGGTGAATATTGCATTTCTGCCTTCCAATTGTGCTATCTAACTGTCTTTTATTTTAAAATGGGATTTTTTTTCTTTTAATATTTATGTAAATATTAACTACTTGCCAAATACTTGCCATATTTGTTGGATGTTGAATTCCAAACGTTAAAATCATCTCCAGCTCTTTCTGTCGAGCTTCTCAGGGGTAACGTCAAAGAATGTCCTTCTGACTTTAGCTTTCAATACACAACCCCCCAGGCAGTAATAAAGGCGTTCAATGAGATCAAAGTAAAGTCAACTGAAGATCTTTGGGGAATGTCTGTTCGAGTGTGCAGGTCGTTTATAGAGACTATTGCGCCGCACTTAACTTTCATTTTTAATAAAAGTGTAGATCAAGGGGTTTTCCCGGATTTAATGAAACATAGTAAAGTAGTTCCATTATTTAAATCAGGCGATAGTACAGAACCTAATAACTATAGGCCGGTCTCTATTTTGCCAGTGCTCAGTAAAGTGTTCGAAAGGTTGATGCTTACTCAAATGCTGCGTCACTTTAACACGAATTCTATTTTCCATGACCATCAATACGGGTTCACCAAAGGACGTTGCACTACGGACGCAGGAGTATCACTTATAAAACAAGTTTTCAACTCGTGGGAAAAAGCACAGGATGCCATCGGAATATTTTGCGACCTTTCAAAGGCATTCGACTGTGTTGAGCACGAGACGCTGTTACTGAAGCTAGAACACTACGGCATTCGGGGGGTATCCCTAGATTTATTGAAATCATACCTTCAAGAAAGAAAAATTAAAGTACAAGTCAACAAAGTTAACTCACTGGGTGCTAGCGTATCTATGGGCGTACCGCAGGGCTCAATATTAGGTCCTTTTCTATTTTTAGTTTATGTAAATGACCTGCCCCATTTGTTCCAAAATGAACCGCATATGGTATTATTCGCTGATGACACTTCATTGATTTTTAAAATAAATAGACGAACAAACAAATATGACGAAGTTAATAATGCCTTAATGAAGGTTCAAAATTGGTTTACAATAAACAACTTACTACTAAATGATAAAAAGACTAAATGCATTAGATTTATTTTACCAAATGTTAAAAGAAACGTATGTGATGATATATTATTAAATGATCAGAAACTAGAATTTGTAAAAGAGACTACTTTCCTGGGGATCACTGTAGATGAGAAGTTGCAATGGGGGCCCCACATCAGGTCTCTAGCAGGACGATTGAGCTCTGCAGCTTATGCTGTCTGGAAGATCCGACAGCTAACCGATGTAGGCACGGCAAGACTAGTGTACTTTAGCTACTTTCACAGCATCATGTCGTATGGAATTCTGTTGTGGGGACAGGCATCCGACGTTGAGTCTATTTTTATCTTGCAAAAGCGTGCCGTCAGAGCTATATATAACTTAGGTCGTCGCGAATCTCTCAGAGAAAAGTTTAAGGAGATCAACATTCTGACCGTACCGAGTCAATTTATTTATGAAAACATTATGTATGTTAGGAAAAACCTACACTTATTTGTAAAGGTA